TGTTCCCTGTGCTGCTGTGTCTGATTTGAATTTCTCCTACCAAGGAACAATAAAGGAACATCTTATCTTAAGTGCAAAAGCAAAGTGAGAATAGTTATAATATATATAATTAATTAGAATTAATGTATAATATAATGGTTATAACAATGTGACAAACTGTCCTGATAGTGATGATATTTAATGGCCCTAAAGTCCCAGGTTCTCGGTGTGTCAATTAAAGCGTAAAGAAATAATAAGACTGCATTATTGCCTGATATCAAACACCATTGTGTAGATATAGTAGATATTTGTGTTAATCCTCTCCCGTTGGATTGGATCTATTTTTGCATAAAAGACCGCACACTTAACAACATAACACTATTTGTCAAACAACTGGCATCTCATCTGGAGCGGATAACACGAGTCGGTTGTATTTTAAATAAAAATCATGCCAGATGAAACTGTAATTATTTAAAACCTCTGTAATCTCTGTGGCCTGCGAGTGCACCTGCGAGTCAAACTCGGGGGGCTACGATCACTCGCCGAGCTCCCATTCGGTAATTTCCGTGAGACGCGCACAAGAACGTTATTCGCCGTGACGTCATCTTCGGAGAAACCCGCCCCCTTTCTCCTAGGAGAAGACAGCCGGCCATTTTAAGTTCACCAGTCGTCATTTCACATCGCTACAGTAGGACGGAGAACGTCAGGACTCACTTTTCATCATATTTCTCTTACAACTGTAGTGGAGAATTGCCTACTATGAACAGAAACTCTTCCTAAAACCAAAAACAAGTAGATCCTAGTGAAGTGACGCATAAGCCAGTAGATTCCAGTGTCGAGTTGTAATTTTTTGCACCTCAATGTAGCTAGAGGAAATGGCTGTGGAAAGCATGACTGTCCATCCAAACTCCCCAACTACCAACCACGAACACAACAGTCTCCTGACTGACGAAAGGTCGAGTAATTCTACAGTCATATTTAAATGAAATTATTTATTTGTCCTGTGCTTTTACACAAAAAGCCCGGGGTTTCTTTTTCTTTTTCTGTCAGAGGGATTAAACTCGCCTTTTCTGGAAAACGAGTACAGAGGTAAAGAACGCCATGTTGACACGACAACGCCAACTGGGAGGCCAAATAGCACCTGGGATATAACGTTATTCCCTTTAATTTTTATTACCGTTATCACACTCAACGGTCAATCAACGGTCAGTCGACTCAAGACCAACTTGTCTGAAGGAAAAAAAAGACCAGGTCGAAAACAGCTGATCAATCATACTTTCACCGCCATTCTAGCAAAGTCAACGGTTATAAAGCAACGGTTAATTAACGTGCCCAGTTTATTTTATTTTTTAAATTTAAAAAAAAAAAGAACAGTTAACTAATTTACGTTAATTAAATTAATTGTGTGGGTGTGATTAAAATACTGTTAATGCCGCAAACAATCCAAACAGTCGTCTTTTTCCCCCTCCGTTGACGGTTGGGCCTACTTTCTGAAGCTAACTTAGCAACATTAGCTTGTTGGCTAACTGAAAGCCGTTGGCAAGCGGTAGAGAGGCTAAGCTAATGCTAATTTGCTACTTCCATTTGACGTTTCCTCTCGTTGTCTCGTCGAATTAAATCTAGCGGTAACTGAGATTGTCAGACGAGCTCGGTTAATGTTTTTCGATTAGTGTTAACTATTAAATTATCTTATAATCCGCTCATATATACTCGTTCAGCTGGTGTAAAACGTGCTGCCAAGTAGCTCTACGCACTTAAAAAATGTCCTTGAGTCGTCGTCTTTCTACCTAAATGAGGCTCGTAAAAAAGCTTATTTTAGCTCCCAAACACCCTTAAATTATTGTAGTGTTCTCCTCACGTTTTGAGTGTTAACTAATATTTAAAACATTGATTTTTTTTAATGTTATCGACTAATCTGTTTCTTGCAGTAGCTAGCTTGCGTTTGTGCTTCCTGTTTTTGTCATGGATATTTGTCTAACATATCACTTTTATTCACAGTCGTGCCCACACTGACTCGTCCCAAACATCCACAAAAGTCCCCCCAAAAAAAGAAATGTGTAAAACGTCTGCAAAGCATCCCAGAAGTGTTTCAAGTCAAACACAAAGTTCCCTTTTTCCACAGTCCCCAGTTGGCAAATTTTGCTCTATGTTACCCAGTTGGCCCCACTTCCAAATCTCACAGACCCCACTAGTGTCCCTAAAAAGGTCAGGGAAAAACAGTTTTCAATGGTTTTGAGTGCAAAATGTGAAGAAAACCTGTCACAGTAAGTATTCCCCATTTTAATCATGGCCCTTTTGCTTATAGAATTAAGTTGTGGACATCCACTGAGCTAATAATGTACCATAATGCATGGTAAAATCCTTTGATTCAGTCAGCCTTAATGGGAAAAAAAGAATAATCTTATGCTCTGTTGAACTTTAAGAACAGTTGTCTGCTTAGTTGGGTGTGTAGAGACATTTTTACCACCGTTTTGGTACAGTGTTATTGGATATGGATACTTGTTTTTCCATAGTTTACACGGATGGCAGATCCTGAACGGAGAGTGCACAGTCCTGGTTTTTACTGCACGTTGTCGGCCGTACATTGATACTTGGATAGGGTCGACTCAATATCTTATTAAGTAAATAATCTTTCCTCTTCACAGGTCTGCTAAGCCTACGTTTGTGTCAGTAGACTTGAATTACAGGACCTCTTACACTGTCCGTGACCTGTGAGTGTTTTTGGCTGAACATAGAGAAACTTGAACATTGTTTGTATTGTAACAAGTTTTTCTCCAAGCTGGCACGTTGTCTGCAGCAGGTGATGTGTGTTTAGTATCTCGACAGGCCAGAGAGGCCATCAGCTTCTGCCCATAGAGAATCCCAGCCACACCCTTTTCACAGCAACCTGCTTCCATAATGCTGCCAAAGCCCTGTGCTGTGATCGAGAGCCCTCCATTGTGCCAGCAGAGTTTTCCTTGTGACAGATCTGTGTGCCAGACTCCGACAGGTTTTGAGTAAAGGGAGGTAGAGGAGTGACTTGGCTGTTGAAGTGATCCTCCTGAAGGTTGTGGTGTTTGGGATTCGAAGCCGATAGCTGATGGAGGAGAAAGAACGTGTTAGTTTAGCAAAGTGTTGGTGAAACGTGGACAGTTTTAATGTTTTGAGATAAAAATGCAGTATAAGTTTGTTTGGTATTTCACATTGAACCTTTGTACTGAGCCAGTGTTGGTTGAAAACATGCATAATCTATATATTCACATTTTTGGAGCTGCTGTGCAGAGGAGCTATTTTCAGGCAGAGCACGGCAAGTTTTGGGATTTTTATTCTGGCTTTTGTTCCAATCAAAATCAAACAATCGCACACATGAAGACAGATTTTGTAGTTCAGGATTATGTTTTATAACAAATAGCAGATAACGAGGTTTTTTCTGTGGAGCAACTCAAAGTCCTCTGGAACTCCCTCGTATCTGGAGCGAGGACTGATAAAAGAAGATCTTCTGGCTTTACTCAGCAAACAACCTAAATAATTTTGTGAACTTGCCTTCTGGTGCAGGGTGGTGATAGTTCCTGTCAGGTTGATGATTGTACAAAGTTCTGTTTCCTTTTTCATTCATGTGAAATAAACGAAGCATTTAGTCGAAGCTTTGGTAGACAGGCAGCTTTCTGAATCGGGCTGTTTTGCTCTGCAGATGAACGTTTTATTCGTGACACAGCAGAGATTATTGAGGCTGGTTATCGTGTTTTCCCCAGAGGAAGCCGGTATGCTGAGGATGTGGTGGCGTTCAGGGTACACGTGCAGTGCAGCTGACGTTTTGCCTCAAAGCAGGTCGACTACACTCACCACCTGCTTTGTCTGTAAGCTATTCGCAGGACAAAACCAGTCGTTCACTAGTCAAATATTGTAAGGCAGTTGGCAAGTCGGGAGTGAATAAGTAGAAACGTGTTCACATCAGCCCGGTCGCTGACTCCAGACTGCTGCACTTTGGGTGTGGGCCTTTATGTGAGAGCCTAATTATTAGTGTGAATTCAAAAGCATTGGCACTCTGGATATTGTAATCTTTATACAAATAGGGAGTGTCAAATGCTACGTCTCTTCAAATACGTCTCTTCACTGTAATGTGATGTGTCCCCTGTCCTAACCGGTGCCATAACTCATAACACTTTCTTGCCAGTTTAGGAAAAACTATGTAAAGAACATGTATGATCAGTAGTCTCAGAAAATGTTGGCTGGCAGGGAAGGAAAACACATGACATGGTAATATTATGGTGCTAATAACTATCAGTTTTAATGTCAAAAACATCCGTGTTCGCAGCTTAACTGGATATGTGACATTTTTCCTGTTTAAATTGAACATTTTTCGGTTCTGTTCAGCTTTTTAAAACGAATGCGCCCTCCCTTTCACTTGTCCTCACTGTGTTTTGCCCCCGTGCCCCCCCCCCCCCCCCCTCCCTTTCACTTGCTTCACTGCTGTTTTGCCCCGTGGCCCCCCCCCCCCCCTGCAGGAAGAGGCCTTCATGTGATCCATGTCAATTAGGATCTCATGGTTTTGCTCAAACTGCCCCATGTGAGGGTCCTGCTGCCCTGCTGCAGTGGACCACAGTAACGGTGCATTCGTAACTCTTTATGTGCCCCTCAAATACTATTAGGATGGTTGTAGAATTAGGACCCCAACCCCCCAGGCCTCTGGTACTTTGGGAGTTTGACCTTCGTGTGTGTGGGTGCATTACAAAACCTCACTAGCACTGGTTTCACAAAATTACATATAACGCTTGTGCAGCAAGAAAATGTAAATTCAAAGCCAGTTAGAGCGTTTTTACTGTCCAGGGGTACAAAGAAAGCTGCACTCAGAAGATTAAAGTTGAAGTTTGACTTTCCTGTGCATGTGAAGCAGTGGCATGTGTGCAGAACTTTGTGTATTTTAACTCATCTTTGGATGAATGCCGTTATTATCGTGTGGCGGCTTGTTTGGCTGATGGTTTATGTACTGAGAGGTTAATTTTAGGTGATTTCTTTCAATGTAGTGTACCCTTTTTTGTGAGGATTCAAATGTAAATTTGGGGCATTTTGTGAAAATGTGTTTTTCACCAGTATCTTAAATAGGCAAACATCAGTGAGAAATAGGTGTGTAAATACACCTGGTAGAGTCACAGGCACACAGCAAAATACAATCTTCCGTTTTATCCCCCTGACATAAACGACCAATCGAACCAGCGTCCAACAGTTTATCAGGTGTTCTCTTAAAATACATCAGAAATCTCCTTAACAGAGAGGAATATGTGCTACAAGGATAACGTTCAAAGAATTGCAATCGAGGTCAAGCACACAAATCTTGACCTAATTTAATTTTCTTTCTTTCTTAAGAAGTTAAAAAACATTTACAACTTAACTCGTGTATTTCAGCCCAAATTATGCCTCCGGGTCTCAGTCAGCTGTTAAATGCTAAGAAGTTTCTTGTTTCTTGCTAAAAAAAAACTGTTTTGCTCACACAAATAACAGAAATGCAACTTTTGCAGTGGTGCTGGGTGAATCATAAATCCTTTAACTAGTGTATGTTGTCAGAATCAAGTCAACCGTACCAAACCTCTGTACTTGTTTTTTATGGGGTTTATCTGTGAACTTTGAAAACACTACACGGACGTTTTATTGTACATTTATAATTTTTAAATGTATCTCCTGAAACAGTGGAGGTGGCTGGCAGACCAGAGAGAAAACGAGAGATGTAACTTCTCTCCATGTGCATTCTTCACATATACAGGCCGGAGGAGGGAGAGCTGGAGGAGGGCGAGTTGGAAGATGATGGGGGAGAGTTGGAGGAGGAGGAGGTGGGTGGAGGTACGTCTGCAGCAGTAGGAGCCAGAGATGCGGGCGAGGAAGCGGGCGGAGGAGGTGAAGCGGGAGGGGAAGGGGCCGCGGAGAGGCCTCAGCGAAGTAAGGAGCGCCACGCCAGCAGCAATTCGGACGATGAGAGGTCCCACCGTCGCAAGAGGAAGAGGAAGAAAGAGAAGGAGCGAGAAAGGGAGAAGAGGAGGGCCAAGAAGAAACGCAAATCCAAACACAAAGTAAGAATATACGAGCTATACAGCAGTAATAGACCTATATAAATCCATATGTCTTAATCTTTCTCTACCACTTGTTTTCTGATTATCTCTTATGTTTCACTCACTCTCAGCGTCATGCGTCCTCTGATGACGACCACTCAGAATTCAGTGACGACTCTGACTACAGTCCCAGTGAGAAGAGGAAGTACAGAGAGTACAGTCCACAGTACCCGCCTCCTGTAAGTCTCAAGAACGTGCAATAAAATGTTCAATAATAATCTTTAGCGCAAAGTAAAAAAATCACCTAATGCGTTTACCCGTCTCTAGACTCACGGGGGCTACGGGGGCTCAAAGAAAGGCAGCTACATGAAGATGGAGAAGCAGAGCTACGGAGGCTACGATGAGTATGAAGAAGACAACTTTGAGGGAGAGGAGGAGGAGGATATGGTGGAAGAAGACTACGACGACTTTACCAAAGAGCTCAACCAGTACCGCAAGGCCAAGGAGGGAGGAGGTGGCCGCGGCGGACGAGGTGGGTCAACGGCAGACTTGTTTTGTTACATATTCTGCTGCATGCTAAATATTTACCCAGCGGAGGTCCTCAGCTGAAAGTGTAAACTATTAAAATAAGTTTTCACTGACCTTTATGGAAGTTAACAGGCTTTTTAAATAATGTGCCACTGTGTGACAACAGCTTGGAACCAGATTCAGATTCATCATGTGCTCGCTGTTTTACTCGCTACTCAGTTTCATTTGCACAGTTGTGGACAGACAAAGGAGCTTATTTGTTTCTTATCAATCCAAATTCCACAGATAAATTCTGTCTTATGTGAAACTTGTCTGCCTCTGTAGCTTACTCATTTCATTGTTTACCTTTGTGTTTGTGCAGGGGGCAGAGGTCGTATGAAGAACCAGAGAGGTCGTGGAGGAATGAGGGGAGGGAGGAGGGGAAGAGGCGGAAGCAGAGGAAGAGGAGGTGGAGGTCGGGGTGGAGGAGTAAAGATGGGAGGGGACAACGACGATGGAGACGGCTATGGAGATGAGATGGAGGTGAGGTTTAGAATTCAGAATGAGAGCTAATCTTCATTTGTTTTGGTCAAAGTCCAGGAAACAAGTTGTTATTCTCCTGCTGTGTTTTGTGTATTTGCACAGTTGTTGCAATATATTTCACGTGGAAACATTCCAGTGAACAAAAACATTTGGAGTCGCCATTTTTATGTGAACACTAGTTTTTTTTCTGGGTTAGACAAACATGCATACATCTGTTGTGATTGCAGATTATCCCCCTTTTGCTGTTCAGCACTGAGAAATCAAACCTGGTGGTGGTCTTAGAAAGACTGTTTATTTCACTGTTGATGGAATAATAATGTGAAAAGCTAATAATCGTTGTAAACAAGTCCTTGTCTTCACCTAGTACTACTTCTGTGTTCTCATTTCCCAAAACAACCGAACCAAAAGAGCACAAATACAAATTATGGGTTTAAACAGACTTTACCAACTCTCTGTGGACACTCTGTCTCACAACTGTGTCTCACAACTGTGTCTCAGAAATGTTTCTCACTCTTGCTTCAGATATTTAACCATTTACACATCATATGTAATTCAGGGAAGTAAGCCTCAAGAAGTCACTCAGGTGAAATCTTACTTACAGTATGGAGAGGATGACTATGACAACATCGGCGATGATGAATACGATGACTATTCAAAAGAACTCAATCAGTACAAGAAGTCCAAAGACAGAGGCAGAGGTGAGTTTTTTGTTTGTGTGTTTTTCATCTTTGTCTTTCTTAAAGAAACGGCTACACATTTTATTCAGCTGCTCTTTTTAAACAAGCACAGGCTGTGATAGATTGTAAATTCACTCAGTCTCACTTGGTTCTTCTGCTCCAGGAGGTAAAGGTGGCCGCGGACGAGGGCGGGGTAAAGGAGGGCGTGGTATGATCAGAGGAGGAAGGGGTCGAAACCGCGGGAGAGGAAGAGGTGACATGGGGATGGATGATGACAACAATGGAGACATGGACAACGGGGTAAGGCTTTTGTGATTCTGTGTCCTGATACTGTAACAGAAAGTAGGTTAATGCAAATTGTGCTTCACCAAAGTCTGGTGCCCCCAGGACAAGATATGAAGATATGAATCTTTTCTTTCTTTCTGACTCTCTGCTCTCTCCTTCTGTGTGTGTGTGTGTGAATGTATTGTAGGACGGAGGTGGAGGGTGCGATGGACCAGGAGTCGGCAGGAGGAATCAGAATGAGAAGCATCAGGATAAGAAAGGAAAGGCCATCTGCAAGTACTACATCGAGGGGAGATGCACCTGGGTAAGAAAGCACAAATGTTCTATTATTTTTGTAGTTTTGTAATTTGTGTCACATTTTTAATGCTACAAGTTTCTCTGGCTGTTCATTCGAATGATTTTTATTTAATGCTTTTTATACTTTTCTAACTGATGCCCATATTTAGAAATAGTTTTGTGGCAAAACCTAGGATAGTTTTTCATAATTTAAATGTATTTGATGACTAAAATGTGATACAGATTCCTCCAAAAAGGCCTGATGAACCATCATCGTTTAATATATAGTTAAATCAAATAATAAATTGTTCTTTTATCCTGTCAGTCACGAGTCCTCAGGCACACAGAATTCATCATTGTCTTTTTTGATCACTAGGGGGACCACTGCAACTTCAGCCACGACATCGAGCTGCCCAAGAAGAAGGAACTGTGCAAGTTCTACATCACTGGATTTTGCGCCCGAGCCGACCACTGTCCTTACATGCATGATATCCTTCAATATTTACTACACAGAGAAACTCTCTAGGGTTGGGAATTCTGGGTATATTGATGAGTACCTTCTTATTCTTTCTGAATAGAGATAATTAAACAGTAAAATCAGTTTAAATCCACCTAACTGAAAATGTAATAGTTTTGTAATAATCTCTTTCATATAAGGACATCCAGGAAACAGGGTCAGTTTCAGTTTTTTTGTGAGTGTTTCTCCTTGACTCCCATTCTACGTGAATTTCCCTGTAAGCTGTTCCACACCACAGGGAACTGTGTCAATGGCGACGAGTGCATGTTCTCCCATGAAGCCCTTAATGATGACACCCAGGAGCTGCTCAACAAGGTAGGATCCTCTTAGCCGATTCTCA